TAGAAAAACAATATGCAAAAGTTTTTCAAAAATAGACCTGTAGGCCAAGGGATGACCACTTAACAAGTGACAGGTATTTTTATAGATTTTTTTCAAGCATGAATGATTGGAAGTTACGTGTTTTTTGACTGCATTTTAGGTTTGTATCCTCACTTTGACAGTTGTACATCACAAGTTATTTTTAGGTTTTTTTTTTTTCTTCAATATATATGACTTTTAAAGATCTAATTATTTGATTTGAACTCCTTTTTGGTTTGTACCTAGGTGTCAACACTTGTGTATGCATTTTTTTTTATTTGAACCTCAGCATAAATCCACAATTAATTATAAGCTCAGTATTCTTGGTTACTTTCTGTTTTGGAAGACTTAAAGTTGTCCTGTCCCTTACCCATCCCAGTATCCTGCCCTGGCCTGCAGTGGTGTCACATGTTCAATTCACAAGAGAAGGAAAGACCGATGCACCCATCTCTTGCTCTCTCTGTCTCTGACTCCACATCTATTTGTGTGGTCACCCCTGACCCACCACTGCTACATAGACATTGCAGCCTTACCCACCCATGTCTGTCTTTCTGTCTGTGTTCTGTCTTTTCACTGTATCTGTGTCTGTATGTCTGCCCATCTTTCCTGCATGCTGGAGCCCTTCACAGGGCCCTCCTCATTTAGGGACAGAGTGTGCTCTTTCTGGGCCAGTGCTAGGCCCTGGAGAGAGGAGTGCTTTGAAAATTCAACTTGGACTTTTCACCAGACCACACTGCAGTTATGCTTAGCATCTGGCCACCAGTTTGTCCACTTAGTATAAGGTCCCTAACCCTACCCATAAGTTACCCATTTCCCTTTTGATCTAGAAACAAAACACTTTTTAAAATCTTAAGAAAGTTAAGGGCCCAGCTTGAAAGGTTGGGGAGAGTCCAGCACAACTATAATTTAATTTGCTTTTTTCATCTTTATTTTCTCGTGGAGGGAAAGCCAGATGCCGCCCTTTCCAGTGAATAAGTTAGCAGACCATGATGTGAAGGAACAGCTTAATTCAGCAGCGTGACGAGGGTTTGAGCTGGCACTTTTCAGCCAGAATCACATTTACACACACACACACACACACACACACACACACAGTCTGTTTCAAGTTTTAGTGAATGAAAGAAATTCACATGATAGATTGCCATTCTAAGGTTTTAAACAGCTTTTATTGTTGCGGTAGAATATATAACTTTTTGGATAAGTTATTGGTATATCAGCTGACTTCTAGTGTTAGAAAGCTTTGAATTTGATTTTTCTAATGCAAAATTCCATATCAAGAGTTAATAGACAAGGGGGAAAAAAAGCATTAACTGAAGAAAAAGGGAGAGTGGACTATAATGAGAATAGAAAACTGAAAGGGCAGGAACTTCCTTGGGGTCTAGTGGTTAGAGCTCTGGGCCCCTCTCCCAGGGGCATGGGTTCAGTCCTGGCTGGGGAACTAAGACCTCACATGCCATGCGGTGTGGCCAAAAAGGAAAAAACGAAAATTGAAAGAACAAACTGAAATTGCAGTCAGTCTGCTATAACAAAACACGCATTCCTAAAAAATTACTGCACTATGCAGAGTTGTGCAATAAAACCCACAAGAGACTCATTAGAAAAATGGGATAATGGGCACAAACACTCAAAACTTAAGCAGCGACACTGAGAAAGATAGGAATCTAACAAGAAGGGTAGCACAGTTGCATGTGTATTAAATGCTTTGAAAAATACATAAATATTCTAATACGAGTTTTCCTTGAAGACAGCTTGGCATGTGCTTCTGAGGGTAGGGGTCAGCAGGGTTTCAGGTTGTGAGCTGCCGTGAAGTGGTGGAAGGAAGGGTATCCGAAATGGAGGGGAAGCTGTCACACCAGCTGTGGGTGACGTGGCTGCTCACGTCCATGGTGAACTGGGGTGGATGGTGGATGTTTGGTGGGGGTGAGCAGATAGAGGGTGTGTGCTTTTATTTTCACATGGCTTAGTTCAACCAAGGGTAGGTTTCTGTGTTCACCTAGTGCTTCTTACAGAAGAAATCTCACAAAAGCAAATGCAAAAATTCTTTATGCTGAAATTGTTCCCTGGTAGATCAGTGTCTTCAGAATTACTTTCTGTCTTCAAGATGATCATTATGGAAGATTAATTAGATTGATAATTTATTTGCATCATTTGATATAAGAGAAAATATATCACTTTCACTCAGAAACACTTGAGAATTCTGATACACGTCAAATTGTAAAAGGGATGTATTTCCTAGAAGTCAAAGTTCTGGTTGAAAGTTTTTCCCCCTCTTTGTATTACAGATATGGTGCTATTCCTTTAGTACTCTTCCACTGGGGGTACACAAGATAATTTTTGTGGCAGAATATGGATGAATATTTTACTATTTAATGTATATCAGAAGTATAAAGTATATTATAGACTTTTAAAACCTATTATTTTATACATGCTATTGTTTTGGGAAAATATCTCTCAACTGAGTGATACCCTATTTCATGCTGGGCCATCTGAAAATAGATTGGGAGGGACAGTTTTGATTGGGGGGGTAGTTTCAGGTTGCCCTTGGTGGAGTGGTACCACTTACTGGTGATGAGGGGCTTGGGGAACAGGAGTTCTAACCACTCTGAGGTCCTGTACGAGAATTGTTCTGTCCAAAATACCAGTGATATCCCCACGAGAGACTGGTGAATATAGGGAGAAACAGTGGAGTTGATCATTTAAATAGAAATGTTGAGTGAAAAATAGTATTTTATGTGGCAGATGTGGACTTACTCAGTTGTGGTTAATGGTCCTCGAGACATTAGCCTGGTCTTAGGCTTCAATGTTAATTGAAGGCCTACTCTGTGCCAGCTTGTCATGGGCAGCTGACTGAGACAATAAGCTCCGTCATCCAAGGGAGTCAGGAAATGGAAACAGATTTTCACAGTCCTTGCTGACAAGTGCTGATGCTTGAAAGTATATTCAGAGTATTTGGGGATCACAGAAGAGAAGGAAAGTTAATTTTTTTTTTTTTTTTTTTAAAGAAAGCCTCAGATGCCAACTTAGCTTATTTTGGCTTTCCCTTCCTTACACACAACTGTCATATCTGGGGAAGGAAGCAGCAGGCACTTATAAATGACTACCAGTTGGGCCTTCCTGACTTGGTTGTAGGCTCTATGTGTTCTAGTTGGAGAATTTTAATTCTGTTTATAGAGAACATAATAATTTTGTCTTGGTGTAGAGCAGGCTCTTAGGACCTCATAAAGCATCAGTGACCTGATGTCATCCTGGGAATAACTCAGCACAGCTTCACTGGTTAAAAAAGACATTTGGAAATGAACCATTTATGTGAAGGGGAAACAATGGAAACAGTGACAGACTTTATTTTCTTGGGCTCCAGAATCACTGCAGATGGCGACTGCAGCCATGAAATTAAAAGATGCTAGTACCTTGGAAGAAAAGCTATGACTAACCTAGACAGCATATTAAAAAGCAGAGACATAACTTTGCTGATAAAGGTCCACTTAGTCAAAGCTGTGTTTTTTCCAGCAGTCATGAACGGATGTGAGAGTCGGACCATAAAGGAGGCTGAGCACCAAAGTATTGATGCTTTTGAACTGTGGTGTTGGAGAAGACTCTTGAGAGTCTCTTGGACTGCAAGCAGATCAAACCAGTCAATCCTACAGGAAATCAGTCCTGAATATTCATTAGAGGCAGTGATGCTGAAGCTCCAATACTTGGGCCACCTGATGCAAAGAACGAACTCATTAGAAAAGAACCTGATGCTGGGAAATACTGTAGGCAGGAGGAGAAGGGGACCACAGAAGATGAGATGGTTGGTGGCATCACTGACTCAATGGACATAAGTTTGAGCTAGCTCTGGGAATTGGTGATGGACAGGGAAACCTGGTGTGCTGCAGTCCATGGGGTGCAAAGAGTTGGAAACTACTGAGCGACTGAATCAGTCAAATTGATTCTAATATGCTGAATTTTTAAAATATTCATGTAACTTCCATGTTGTGATAAATAGATGTTGAGTCACGTACATTTTCAAACCTAAGAGTTAAGCAAACATGCCATTTTAAAGTACAAGTTTAACTGAAGGTAATTACTAAGCTACCAGCATAAGGTACTTAAGTAGATAAAGTTACTGAATAATTTACTTGTTTCTAATAGTAACATTCTTCAGCTCTCGATTTATTTAGTTTGCATTGCCTTACTCTGAGAAAACCTGATTCTCTAGCGGATAGACTTACTTTCCGTTAAACCTGTGTAGTTCTTGCTTAACCATGAATTACTTCCTGGTTTATAAAACAGGCGAAGCTATTTGTGGTATTTTTGTCTTGTGCCTTTGGCATCTTAGTGGTGTGAACCAGAGCCGTGCCATCTGTAGTCAAGTAAGATTATTTTAAAAGTGGGGGAGGGGTTGGGGGTAAGGAGTGAAGTGATTCACTGGAAAATTTCAGCACAGATTCGTAAGGAATGATAAGATAACCCTAGAAACATTCTTATTTGGTGTCATATGCTGGTGGGTAGTGACAAAAAAATAAAATTAAAGTACAACTTTTTTCTTCACACTTTGCTGTTTTGAAAATTGGAGATGTCCCTCACTAGAAAGGAAGAAATAATTCTGTGTGGTGTCCATAAACAGAGCTCTGGAGATGAATGAATAATTTTCCCCTCTCTGACTACAAATTGGAGTCAGTGAGGTTTATTTCTAAAATGCAAAACCCAGTAGTCTCAGGTTTAAAGTGGCTATTTAATTTCCTAGTGGTTATCTATATATGATAAACCTCTTTACGGTGAAATGTTTTCTTAAGCAGAAGGACCAGTTCCTAGAATCCAGAATAAGTCTGTAGGGCCTAGATAAGCCATTTCTGAAAGCTGGTGAGTTTAATATATTTTCACTTAGTGACACATTTTTTGAACCTAAATGTGTTGATTTCAGGGGACTCCTCCAGGGTTCCACTGAAGACTTGCCTGAAACAGTGTCTCCCCCCGCCCCCCTTTGTTTTCTTTTTCAGAAAGAAGACATAGCTCATCCAGCAAGCCTTCTTTGGCCGTTCCTCCCACTTCAGTATTTTCCTTCTTCCCTTCTCTGTCCAAAAGCAGAGGAGGTGGTGGAAGTGGAAGCAGCCGTTCTTCCAGCGGAGGTGTTCTGAGCACGTCCTCATTAAGTTCCAAGTTGTTGAAATCGCCCAAAGAGAAACTGCAGCTCAGGGGGAACAGGCCAATGCATCCCATCCAGCAAAATCGAGTCCCCCATGGTAGAATGTGAGTATGGCTCAGAGGGTTCTTAAAGCTCACTGGCCAGAAGTGGAACTGTGTAGACAAGTAGCTTGTGAGTGTGTCTGTGGATAATGTAAAATTTCCCCCCACTTTGGGGGAAATCCAGATATATGGTGGTGTTTCTTTTTGTTTCCCTATTACAGGTTGGAAAACTTTGCAGAGTCATGATAGCAATAATAATCAGATTAATGGTACTTATCACAACAATCCTATGAAATAGATACTGTGGTTATCTCCTTTATGTGCACAATGAGAGGGGAGCATGAAAAGATTTAGCTGTGGGACTCTCAAGTCAAACAGGCCTGAGGTTCAAATCCCACCCCTATCACTTCCTAGCTGAGGGGCCTTAGCCAAGGCCCTGTTTTTCTCAGAGTTTGAAGACCATGTCCCCTGGGCAGGGTCGTTGGGATGGTAGGATTCATGTGTTAGAGTCAAGGGTTCGTGGGTCAGAGTCAGTTAGCCAGTCACGGCTGGCTAGTGTCGGCCCCGCAGGAGACCGTGCAGAAAGGGCTACTGGTGCTGCTGCCTCTGATGATAACAGTGAGGATAAAAACCAGAGAGATCCCCAGAAGCTGTCCTAGGGTTTTCTGGGCTTGCAGAGCAAATAGGGAAGCACTGCTTCCTCCCACCCCCTGACTTGGGTTCATACCAGAACTCTGATGAGGGAGGCTGAAAGAGGTTCCCACCACAAGGACAGGCCTTGACGAGTTTCCGCAGTGGATCCGTAGGCTGGCAGGCTCTGTGTGGTCACGTGAAGAGCAGCCATGCCCTCTCATGGAAACACATCCTGCCGGCTCACGGCATCCCTCGGCCTTGGTGGCGGGTGGCTTTTCCCTGGCCCGCCTCCCTTGTGAGGGTATGCCATACGTCTCAGCTCCAAGGTCTGATAACCTGGTTAATCTTCGGGCAGCGGCCAGCACCTGCTCTTGTGCACAGACCTTGCCAGCTTGCAGAGGCCGTGGCATCTTGTGTCTCTGCCGCTGTCGGGCTGCTCCAGGTACAGCTGTTTGGTGCTGTTTGTCCCGGTTGCTAAGCCCCCGGCCTCCACTCATCTGTCAGAAGCGCAAGCACAGCGGGCTTGGCTTTCGTTCCTGGAGCTGTCAGCGCGCCAAAGAAAATGCCAGTGCAGCGTGTAAGTCACTCACCAGCCTAACAGCTGTGAGAGCACTGGCTGCGCTGGACAAAATGTACAGAACCTGCCCGGTCCAAGTCTTCTGTATCTGTAACTGGGCTTTAGATGGGGCCCAGGCCAGCTGTTAGCTTCGAAGCAGCATTTGCCACCCAAGTGACGGTATTGGTAAGCCGCCGAGAAAAATCAGTTCTTGGTTAGCGATCCAGGTGTCCAGGGCTCACGAGCTGGGTGCCAGGCGCTTAGAGGCCAGGATCCTGTCAGGAAAGCCTTCTTCAGGGTCTGGAGAATTACCGCTTCAGTGACACGTCATGTCCTAATTAAACCTGGGTCTTCCTCGTTGATAGGGGCAGAGAGGCTCTTCTTGGAGATCAACTGTTAGGCACTTTTCAGTTCTTCTAAGTCCATAGTGACCTTTCTTGGAAATGTTCTCTAATTTCAGTTGCTCTCTTCTCTACTCACTCATTTTACTTCATTTTGATGGATCAGTTCTTAAAAATGACAGTTCTCAAAAGATAATCCTCACGGGGTCCTGCAGTAGTCTCTGGTCCTTTGAGACCTTTTCATATTTTGCTGCTTGCTGGAGTTGCATTGGGTAACAGGCTTATGTGTAAGATTGTTCTGGAATGATGAAAGGCCAGGTAAATGTGATGGTTCCTCTGGAGCTCTCTGCCTCTCCAGAAAGGCTTATGGATAAAGGTTCGCTGAGTTTTCTGCATAGTCCTAATTTCCCCAAGGAACCTTTGGGCACATGGGCAGACCCAGGTTCTGCCTCATCCCTCTAGCTCACCAGTCTCCTGGGGCTGCAAGGCACTCAGGCGCTGGTGTTCTCACTTCCCCCACGACAGCATGACGCCCTCTGTCAAGGTGGAAAAGATTCATCCGAAGATGGACGGCACACTACTGAAACCCACGGCGGGGCCCCACTGTCCCGCTCCTGTGAGCTCCTCAGTCAAGCCTGGCCTTAACTGCCCCTCAATACCAAAGCCAACCTTGCCTTCACCTGGACACATTCTGAATGGCAAAGGGCTTCCTGCACCGCCTGTTCTGGAAAAGAAGTCAGAAGATTGCTCCAATAACAGGAAGTTTTTAAATAAGAGATTATCAGGTAACTTCATATTTTTTCTCTCAGTATTTCTTTTTGTATTAACTGGGCACTCCTGGTGGAGCAAATCAACTATTATTAGAAGTCCTCCTTTTAAAACTAGCCAACTTCAGCTTTCAGATGAAGTTCCCTAAGTTGTGTCCTTGACCTCCTCCTCCTCGGTTTTAGAGTGCATGTGTGTGTAGGTGATGTAAAAGCAGCTTTCTAGTGGCGTGTTCCCCAGTGGAGTAGTGAGGAGTGCTGGCTCACATGGCCCCGCTCCTTCGTCTGCTGACGGGAGTGCCTACCCTCTCAGTGATGTCGCGACTTTCTTCTCAGTGCTCACACATTTTACTTCTTAACATTTATTGATAATGTGGTAGATTTGCTTCAAGTTATAACTTGCCTGAAATAGGAGAATCTCTGATTTCTATTTTCAGAATAAGTGAAGGAGTGTTTGAACCCATTGTAATGTCTGTGTGCTTTTGACAGAAAGAGAGTTTGATCCTGACATCCACTGTGGGGTCATCGATCTCGACACCAAGAAGCCCTGCACCCGGTCTTTGACGTGCAAGGTAGGGGGTGGGCCCCGGGGAGAGCCCAGTGGTCCAGGCAGCGGGGGGACCAGGGCTGCATAGTGCTGCTCCCCGGGTCTCCCTCGCTCACAGGGCCTCTGTTCTGATCATTTTCCTGGATTTTTAAGGGAGGTGTTGACTCTGTTTTGATGGAGAACACTTCAAATTCAGAAAACATGGGACCTGTTGTTATAAACAGCTGTTCTAAACTGCCCCTAGTGAGCACTGTTGTTTCCAGGAGGACAGTGTTTTTTCCTAATTAATCTGTTATCTTCAATGCCTTTAATTTGAGAGGCTTCCCTTTACTGTGTTTTGAAGTGTACTGACATAGGATACATCCAGAAATTTCCTTTTCTTGTATGGATAGATCCTTAAAATGTTTGTGTGATTCTTAAAATGTTTGTGTAATATCTGGTTCTTAATTTTACAGCTATTAAAAAATCTGTGACTTTGAGATAGTGTTATTTTTTTAGTTTTAAAAAACCTAGGTCACGTGTAATCACATATCTGTGTACACACACACACACACGTATGTATATCTGTGTGGGTATACATACATATCAGTTTGTTCAGTTGCACAGTCATATCCAACTCTTTGTGACCCCGTGGACTGCAGCTCACCAGGCTTCCCTGTCCATCACCACATCCCTCCTGGAGCTTGCTCAAACTCACGTCCATTGAGTCAGTGATGCCATCCAATCATCTCATCCTCTTTCGTCCCCTTCTCCTCCCACCTTCAGTCTTTCCCAGCATCAGGTTCTTTTCCAGTGGATCAGTTCTTCGCATCAGTTGGCCAAAGTATTGGGCTTTCAGCTTCAACATCAGTCCTTCCAATGAATATTCAAGACTGATTTCCTTTATGATGGACTGGTTGGATCTCCTTGCAGTCCAAGGGACTCTTAAGAGTCTTCTCCAACACCACAGTTCAGAAGCATCAATCACACACACCAAAAAAATGTAAAGATTCCCCCTTTCTTCCCTGAGTTGTCCTTAGAAAACTTAGCCAGTGTGCTAATGAGAAGGTGGTGTATTTACTATAAAATTAGTATGGATGTGGGAGTGGCTTCAGTAGACCCTTTATGTGAATGAGCATATATGCTTATGTCCCCAGCTACCCTGAAGATGGGTTCAAAAAGTATTCAGAATCATTGCCTTGAAGTAATTTTAAAGCCATTGTTTGGAGAAGGTTAGAAATTATAAAAGTTAGTGGTGTTCACTACAAATTATCAAAGTTTTTTATGTATTATACATTATATTTTGATGTATAAATTTTACAAAAGATTATGTTTGAATAAAAACATTCAGGTTCCACTTCATCCACTAAACAGTGGAAGAATATTAAGATCTTCAGAAATGAGAAATGCTATTTCTAGATAGTTCTTATTAATATTTAATTTTAGTGTGTGGGTTTTATCTTGCAACAAGGTACTGAATATTTTGAAGAAATTGGTTGGTCAAGAGCACCTTTAAATATCTAATTTTTAAAGAATTATGGATCCTTTTCTCTGAGGAAAACATACATACACATGCATGTTCTGAATTTTGCATTTTATTACAGAGGTCATTTCACTTCAAATTCACCTTAGAATCTCCCAGTTAAAAATTCCTCGGGACAAATTGCTTTGCTTTCTGTAATATTAATTGAACACTTCGAGTGGTGTGTTGTTGACGGTAGCCATTTGTGCTCTGTTACACTCGTGTCCCATTCAACGTGAGCGAGTGCCTCAGCCCTGCTGCACGCTGTGTCACACTTGCCAACCTCTCTCCGCTCTCTCCCTGCCTACCTGACTGTCAGCCACATAGATTTCTCAGTGTTGTGGTAACTCTGGTTAGTGAAGAAGGCTTACTTTACCCAGGATGCTCTTCTTTAATTATCTATGAGGCATGCTGATGAACCAAAAGCTTTATCAACTCCAATTCTGCAAGGGGTTTGACCAGTCTTCTTCCTGAGCCTTCAGTGGCTTTATGTGGATCCTGCCTTTTTCTCCCATCTTTTTGAGTTGTGCTTGCCCTTCATATGTACTGTTAAGGGGTCTTGACCATCTAGCAGGGTGCCAGGCCTATCTTTGCATTAGCATATATCTTCACCCAGGCGGGGCATGAGTTCAGCGTAGAACTGGCAGAAGATGCAGCATGGCAACTGGCCTGTCCTTGCACAGACGCCCGTACTTTGCTCTCGCGGCCTGTTTGCCAGTGCTCCTCCCTTTCCCTTCCTCTCGAGCTGTGGGGCTAAACACACTTGACCGCCCCAGCTCAGAGTCCCCCATGCTGCTGGCCAGGTCTCTGTTAGGCTGAGGTCACCTGATGGCCATCTGCCGCTGTCCACTCCTGTCATTCTGGGGTCTGCCTGCCACCCTCACTATCCCCTCCTCACTTCCTCATCTGTCCAGTGTTCTGTCCTGTGTCCTTGCACTTCCATTCAGGTAGATTTGGGCTCCTTTCCGTGTAGAAACATATACTGCACACACGTGTGGGCCCAGACCTCCCTCTGGGCCTCAGAGGATACAGGCTTGAACAAAATCAAGGCCTGGCTCCTACCCTTAGTGGTAAAATTTACCTCTGATGGGTAATAAGAAAGAGGCCAGGCTAGTCACAGTCTTCACTCGGGGAACTTAGTCGGGGAGGCTCCTTCACCTTAGGACTACTAGGCTGAACTTCTTGGGGTTTGTCTGGGCAGAAAGGGGTGGAAGAGACAGCAGAGACAGTCGGTGTGAAGGCTGTGGGAGGAGGGCAGAGCAAACAGCTTAGGGCCCACAGGACAGCCTGGAGGTGGGCAGGAGACAGAGGCGTGGGGAGCAGGGAGCACAGTTGTTAGGGCAAGCCGGGCCCCGGGCCGCCTTACAGTGGGTCCTTATCAGTGGGCTTCACACAGTTCCCACAGAGTTCTGATGGGCAGCATCAGAACTGTTGTAATCAGATGGTTCTTCAGAGCCCAGTGGAAATGCTATTTACTCTTCAAACCAAGCTTGGGAAATATCCATCGTCTCTGCCTACTTTCTTCACTCAGTCTTGCCATGCTCCATCATCTGTCTGGAGACACAGGCAGGTGACCAGTGATACCGTACATTCGTTTGCTCATTCAGCGTGTTTTAGAGGACCATCATTTGTATCTGCGTTTCGTTTGAGGCATTGATGGTGTGCGAGGTGCTGTCTTAGGTGTTTGTACAGCACTGAGCAAGACAGAGGTTCTTGGCTTCATTTGGGTTACTTACAGATATATTACATATTAAAGAAAAACAAGAAAAAAAAATTTTTTTTTAAGCCCTACTCATGTTTCTTAACTATCTGTGCCAGGTTACATTTGAACAGACATAGTTGCAGTGTGACTGATAAGGACTAGGTTATGTTACTGACTTGCAAAAGGGAATAAGAAGTCTAACTCTCCTAAAATCCTTTACACTGTAGCAGACGTGTGGGCCTGCAGAGCAGTGCATTTGTGTGACATGTGGGTAATGAGCACATGGGAATGATCCTTTGTGGTACTGCTGTGACATGCATGAGGGAAGGACTTGAAGTCACTCATACTTGGGAGGTGTTATTTGGGCTGCTGTGGTTGGCGCCTTGCTTTTTTTTTTTTTTTTTTAAATACCAACAGGGGTCCTGACAGTAAGGAGTGGTCAGGTTTACTTGACCTTTCTTCTTCTCAAGAGTAATTCCAAATTTCTAAAGATGTGACCATTTTTGATTCTGAGATTACACCTTGTCTCCAATTCCAAAAATGCTGTCTGTCCCATTTTCTTGATTTCCGTAGAGAGTGCCTGTTCATGGGGTTTCACGCTGCTGTGCATCTTTTCCTATTCTCAGTCCGTCTTCTCTTGGCTTCACACTCTTTAATTCCCAGATCTCCCTCTGCTGCGTCGGTCCCTGTTTCTAGGGTGTCTTGAGCCGCTTCCTCTCTTCTTATGGCGTTGTCACTGGAATAAAGAAGCAATTGTATTTAATTTTTACTTTTTGGCAGTTACTGAAAGACTTTCTGATACATGTTTTGTGGGATGTATCATCCCATAAAAGGGAAGTATTTGGCCCAAAGAGAGACTTTCTAGTGGAGTTGGTGACAGTCCTGACCAATGAATTGCTCCAGTGACACAGAACTTAAGGACCTGTCACCTGTTTGTATCAGGTTTGACAGTCTCACTGTTTGCCCCTTGGTTACATACCAGGCAGCATGGTTGACGTTTTTTCCTTTCTTCTGGTGGAAGTGACATCACCAGATTCTTACACATTTGGAGCCTGGAATATCTGCTTCTAGCTTTAAAAAAAAAGTAAAATTCATAATCTTAAGGTTTTTCCCTTATCAAATGCTAAGCAGCCTTTGATTATGCTAACGGTCTAGATTGCTTTTTTATTGGCATTGGTGTTCTTTGGTATATGACATAAAAAATTATTACTGACAATCCTCCATTTCTGTTTGTTTTGTTGTTGTTTCTGGTGTGTAGACACATTCCTTAACCCAGCGGAGGGCTGTCCAGGGTAGAAGAAAACGATTCGACGTGTTGTTAGCCGAGCACAAAAACAAAACCAGGGAAAAGGAATCGATTCGCCATCCGGACTCTCAGCAACCAGCGCAGCCTCTCAGGGACCCACATCCCACCCTTCCTAGAACGTCACAGGAGCCACACCAAAACTCTCACGGAGTGATTCCCTCCGAATCAAAGCCTTTCATAGCTAGTAAACCTAAACCTCACACCCCCAGTCTTCCAAGGTAAGCCACGTCCTGCAGCTCTCTCCCTCCTCAGAGAACAGACATGCAGCCTGTAGAGTCCTGGCATGTCGTGCTGTCGAGGACAGGCATCAGGCTTGTTGCGAGAAGAGGGCGTGTTTTCTAATTGGGTTTTATTTTTAGAGGAAAAAAAAATTGTTCATCAGTGAGTTTCAACCAGGGCTCTTCATAGCCAAACACAAGCATCAGAGTAAAGCTAGAGCTGCCTGCTCCACATGCCTGTCTCCTGACCCCGCAGAGCAGGGCTGAAGCCCGGGTCCTGCCTGCAGTAGCGAGGAGGACATCTCACATGGCTTTGGCACCAATTTCCCATTCATTTGTCTTGCTTCTTGCAAAATACAGCAGAAGGGATTCTCGCTAGGGATAGGCATTCAGCTTGAGTTTTTATAGCATCCGTTTACATGTATCTTCATTCATTCATATGGGACTCTGGCCGGAGTGCACATTAGGCTTTGGAGCTGTGCAATGAGCAGCACATCAGAACTTAGCCACATCCCTCAGACATGGTGATGGTGGGCTGCCTATATGCATGTGTGTGCTTGTGTATTTAACCAAGTTCAAGTAAAGGACTTTGTATCCAGAGAGAAGGGAGAAAGGCACAGATAAGGAGGGTCTTGTGTCTCTACCATCAGTAGTGAGGCCTTCTGCTTAGGAATGTGCAGACCCTTGGCTGCTGTTGCTTAATTAACCTTTTCCCCTCACATGTCCGATCCTTGAAATGGTCGCGTGAGGGGTGGAAGTGCCTCCCTGTGGAAACGTGAGTGTGTGCCCGAGCTTGTCCCCATGTCAGCCCCTTGGTTCTGAACGGCGCAGTGGAGGAGTGTTCCAAGCAGGTGCCCCAGAAGGTGCCCAGGGCCAGGCCGCTGATCCTTAGCAAGTCCTTTCTTTGGCCACCTTTTCATTGAAGTGTTAGCATCTGAAACAAAGTGGGCTTAACTCTAGAAACACCAGGCCTTTCTGTTGGAAAAGCACACTACTGTCCATGAGTCACACATTCCAGATTACCCACATCAACCCACCTTCTTTTATCACCTCCTGTCCCTGTTAAGTTATTTTAGAGCACGTTACCTGTAATTTCATTGATCGCCTTAGTAACCCAATTCCAAGTAGAATTTGAAGGGGAATCAAAGAAAGAATTCTCTTAAGTTCCACATACATCTCGCCTTTTTTGGGGAGAATAGGACCAGGTGGGAAGGAGAATGATTGTAAGTGACTTTGATTAGACCTGGCAGAAAGCTCCATTTGACATCGTGCAGTGCAGGAGAGAGACCCCTTCGCTCCAGGCACCCCGGATCTGCGTCTGTGTCCCCAAGGGCTAGTGGTGGCGCCCAGAGCTCCCCTGGTGGTTTTGGATACATGGTTGTATCTGAGTCGAGGCGGCTGATTCCCAGACATGTGGTGTGATCTGATCAGTGCTGCACTTTCTGCTCACCAAGGCCTCCAGGCTGCCCTGCTCAGCAAGGTGGGAGTGCCCCCATTGACCCTCCTCCAGTCCATGAGTCTCCACACCCTCCCCTGCCTGCCACTGAGCCAGCTTCTCGGTTATCCAGTGAGGAGGGAGAAGGCGATGACAAAGAAGAGTCTGTTGAAAAACTGGACTGTCATTATTCAGGTCATCATCCTCAGCCAGCATCTGTAAGTTCCACACCCGCCCCGGGGCCGACCCTCCCCACGCAGCAGGGGCAGGGCAGTGCAGGGGGGCGCGCCGGGGACCGCAGCATGCCCTCGTCCGTGCGGGTCGCCCCGGGGCGGCATGCTCCCAGTCTCTCAGGACGCGCAGGGCTAGGCATTGTCATGTTCATGCTTCACAGACCGCGGTCCTCAGTCAGCACTGTCTGTCCCGGCCGCTCCTTCCCGGGCCGTGCGCCCTCAGAGTCTGCGAGCCCAAGCGTGTGCTTTCTCTCTTTACAGTTTTGCACATTCGGGAGCCGGCAGATTGGAAGAGGCTATTACGTGTTTGACTCCAGGTGGAACCGGCTTCGCTGCGCCCTCAACCTCATGGTGGAGAAGCATCTGAACGCGCAGCTCTGGAAGTGAGTGCCCGTCCACCACCTCTGGGGCAGGTGGGGCCTTGGGGCCGCATCCTCTTCATTTCTTACGGGGCTGATTTAAGGAAGGTCATCATCTCTGATGAACACAAGGGCTTGACCAGCCCTGGAAGAAGGACCTTCATCATTCATCCATTCACTCCTGCAGCAGATGTGTCTCGTTCTCGGTGCTGGGGTTTTAGGCCGAGGGGCTCCCAGATGGACGGAGCTCAGGTTCTAGGTCGGGGAGAAACGTGAAAGCCAGTCATCAGAAAACAGACATCATAGCTTGTCATAAGGGAGAATAACAGAAATGCTCATAAATCTGTATCTCTTATTGAGATTACTAAGGCCAGACACTGTAGCAAATACAGTTTTCACAGCTCCAGGCCAGAGGGCTTCATGGAGAACCTGTGTGAAGGGGCCCTTGAGCTGAGATGAGTGGTTGAGAAAGAGTAGTCGTGGGACGGGCGAGGAGGAGTGGGTTCCATGCAAGGAGAATAGTGCATATGAAGGTCTTTAAGTCAGAAAAGAACATGGCTTCTTTGAGAACGAGCAAGGAATCTCTTAGAACAAGAGGAGACCCGAGGGTAGGATGACGCTGACTGAGAGCCCTGGGGAGAAGGGTCTCAGGTGATGGAGCTGTGCGCTCTGGCTTTCAGCTGAAAGTAAGGTGATCGTGTTGTGTGGTCTTACCCATGCTCCTGTTTCCCCAATGTGAGTTCCGTGGCCCAAAAAGTTTATTAACCCAGTCTTTCTGAAAGGAAAGTTTGTGTTATTGTAGAACTTCTCAGAGCCTTTAGTGAGTGCTGTCCATGTAACTCTGAAAACATAAGATGATAGCATGTATAATGTGGACTGCCTGTCAGTCTCTTGTGACCTGGGAACCTCTTTTAGGGGAGCATCTGGGAGACTAGTGTTGGGTAGAACCTACTTTGGGAAGCATTGAGCTTTGTTAAAGGGGGCTATCCAGTAGTACATAGTCATACCAAATTCTCCCTTTGGGCATCATTTACCCCTAGTGCCTCCCTGAGTAGACTCTGCAAGTACATTTATTTGCCTCTCTGCTTGTGTTTCCTGTTACAGTCAGAGGAAGTTATCAGACCTTGGATAGTCCACGATCCAGACGACTGTCTCTATGGTCATTAGTAGGGCTTGCATTTGTCCATAGTGAAGACCAGCCCCATGGCAGTGTTACTTCGCTTTATTTCATGTTTGTTCCTAGTTCTTACTAGATAAGAGCTCTAATGAAGTAACAGTGTTCTGACCCAGAGGCAGACTTGGGCAGTGGTTTGTTGGGATTTTTTTTTTTTGGTGTGGGGGTGGATGGTAGCCTCAGATCAGACAACTTTAAGATATGTGAAATCTCAGTTGCTTACCTGGTAGGACCTGACGAGCTCACTGAGATTATGATCTGTGGGTTTAACATACTCGTCAGGGTTTGGAAAGATCCTGGGGATTTCTATCCCCATCACACTGATGCGTGGTTTACGGCCAGGGTTTGGGTGAGAGACTTTCAGCTGGTTCTTGGAGGCTCCTGTGGAGAGACATCTTTGCACTGTGATGTCTGAAGTAGCAGGGTCCTCCGGCTGACCGCTGTTTCGCCTCTGCTGTGTCGCAGTCTGCCTGCCTTATCAGTCACTTGCTCCCAGTGAGGAGGAAACTTTCTTTCCATTACCATGACCTTTGAGGTTTTAAAAAATCAGTTCAGCAGAGACAGACGGGCTGCTGTGATGAGCTGGCATGCAGGCCTGGAGTGGATAGGAGCTTGGAGAGAGTTGCCAGGCCAGATGCTTGAGGAAATAAGTGCTCTCGACATGGGAGTGAGGGGGGTTGGCGCAGGCAGCCCCTGGGATTTGCCAGGAGCGGCTCAGCACTTCTCTGCAGAGGAGAACTCCTCTTGAGGTGGCATCTTTGAGGCACTCAAGGAACCTCTTGATGCGGTCCGGGTCCCACCCCCTGGCACAGTTGAAAATCCTCCCTCCTGCGAGGAGCCCTGCCAGCCCTGACCTGAGCCCCTCTTGCTTCGGTTACTGCGGTTAACCTGGGGGTTCGTGGAGCGGGTGTGAGCCTGGCGTTAACTCAGTCATCCGCAGTGTGGAGTCTCTGGACAGCAGGTGAGGGGAGACTCACTCTTGCTCTAGCTCCTGCTCCGACTCATACCTGTGTGTTCTGTCTGCTGTCTGCATGCTGTTATTAGGGACCACTATGGCACTGAGGACAGGCTGGGATGGTTATCAGGTTTTGATATGAGTTTTCCTTTTTTTTTTAATTTTTAAGATTGGCTAAAAAAAGAAAAATGGATACAAAGAGGCACATAGTAAAAAAGTTTTACTTGCCCTGATTCCCATGCTTCTGTTTTCCACCCATTCCTCACAAGACAGTTTTATTAGTTGCTTGTATGTCTTTGGGTTTATTCATGCAACATAGGTCAATATGACTGCCTATTCTTTTTTTTTTTTTGTCTCTTCATTATGCAAAAGGTAGGAAATGACTTGAAAGAGCTTTTTAATGAGAAACTAGTAATGTCATCCAGAGAGTCCACATCCCTGCCCCTATGGAAGCCTTTCCTTTTCCCCAGGTTTGGTTCCAGCAGCTGGCCTTGAGGCTCCGTCCTCCTAAGCCACCTGGTGGCCATGAGACGCCACTGCACCCAGGGAGCAGGGACCCCCTGCACTGAGTTTCAGTCAGGGCTTCTCACAGGTGCCAGTGCCCTGGGGGTCTTGCTGAGATACACAGTCTGATGAAGGAGGTCTAGGGTGGGGCCCAGGGACTCAGCGTTTCCAGTAAGCCTCTCCTGTAATGTCAGTGCTTATCCTTCATGAGTAACATAGGGATAGAAGCCCAGCTTCTCAATCAACCTCAGCATCTGGAGAGATCTAGAAGTTACTAGTGCCTGGACCCCACCCCTGTGATCCTGGTGTGGCCTGAACGCCACGGGTGATTGTGACATGCAGCCACATTGGGAAGCACAGACTTAGAGTAGGAGCCACACTCTTGCTAGGGGAGGGCTTTAAAGGCTGGTGTGAACACTTGCAGTTGTTTAATTCCTTTCATGGATAGCTGTAGTTCTTCTCAAAAAGCATCAAGAGAGATTTGGCAGCTATCTAAGCCAACGCTCTCACTTGAAGGTTGAGGAGCACTGCTGGTAGTTGGATCAGAGCTGCCCGGTGAAGCTTGGGTCAGGGCAGTCTTGGCAGTTGACTTCCAGTCAGGCCATTTGCTGTTTTGCTACCTGAGTGTTAATTATGCTATAGGGTTTTTTTGATATTTTGGTTCTGTCAGATTTTAAAAGTCATAGCTAAAATAAAAGTGGGAAGGGTCCCTCGTTTGACTGTTTGAATAGATACCCAGATAGTATTATCAGAATCCATTGTCGGAACACTGACCAGAAATCCCCTGAGATCTGGGGGCTTCCCAGCTATTCAGGCAGTATCTGGGACCTGTCAGTTGTTACTAACTAGCTGTGTCCTTCCTTTTCCCCTGATTGTTCATGAGTTCTCTTAATGGATTGAGTGCCTTTGTGTTGTAGGCCCTGTGCTAGATGGACAGTAGTAAATCAGCTGTGAATTGCTCCATCTACAGAGACACTGGACAGTGCTTCTCAGTCACACCTTTTAAAACTACCAGAGCCTTCCCAAGTCTAGGAATGGGGCAGAGTGGGAACTAAGCAAGTTAGGAAGGCCTGATTCCCTAAGAAGGTGATGATGGGCCAAAACGGAAGGATGAGCAGAAGCTGGGGTGACTGTGTCTTAGGCAGAAGGTACATGAGGTCTGGTGTCATGACCTGGTTTAGGAACTGAAGGAAGATCAGTAGCCAGAATTGGGGCACTCGGGGTGCTGAATGGAAGGGTGTGGTGTGAACCTGTAGCCCCAGCAACATGGCCTTACAGGCCAGTGTTCTCAGAGCACAGGAAAGCATGAAGAATTTGAAGGGGGGAAGTGACACTCCTTGTGGCTCGGCATCTTGGCGCAATCCCTCTGACCAAGGGGTCTGTTCAGTGCCAGAGGTGAAGGAGGTCTCCTTCTGAAAGTTGCACGAAGGGCCGTGGTAGACGCTGCTCACGCCCTCTTCTGTTTTGCAGGAAGATCCCACCCGTTCCCAGTACCACATCGCCTGTGTCCACACGTGTTCCTCACCGGACAAACTCTGTGCCGACGTCACACTGTGGGGTCAGCTACCTGGCAGCAGCCACCGTGTCACCTGCCCCCGCCCCGCTCTCGTCCACCTGCATCTCCCCCAGCAGTAAGTCGGTCCCAGCTCACGGAACCACGCTGAATGCCCAGCCTGCCGCCTCCGGGGCCGTGGACCCTGTGAGCAGCATGCAGTCCAGACAAGTGTCTTCCTCCTCCTCCTCCCCCTCCACGCCCTCCGGCCTGTCCTCCGTCCCCTCCTCCCCCATGGCCCGGAAACCTCAGAAGCTGAAATCCAGCAAGTCTTTGCGGCCCAAGGAGTCTTCTGGTAACAGCACGAACTGTCACAACGCCAGTAGCAGTGCCGGCGGCGGCTCAGGAAAGAAACGCAAAAACAGCTCCCCACTGTTGGTTCCCTCATCCGCCTCCTCGTCGTCCTCATCCTCTTCTTCTCATTCCATGGAGTCTTTTAGGAAAAACTGTGTGGCTCACTCTGGACCTCCCCACCCCGCAGCAGTAGCCTCTGCCCCGGGCATCAGCCTCAACTGCGTGGCCAGCCGAGCGAACTCAGTGGGTGGCCGGCACGAGCAGCCAGGGTGCCGGGGCACCCCCAGCGGGAGCCCCTGCGAGTCCATCAAGAGGATGAGCGTGATGGTCAACAGCGGCGATTCCACACTCTCCCTCGGCCCCTTCGTGCACCAGGCCGGCAACGAGCTTCCTGTCAACTCCCACGGCGCCTACCCGCACTCACACACTCCTCTGGACAAACTCCTAGGAAAGAAAAGAAAGTGCTCACCCGGCTCAAGCGGTGTCAACAGCAGCGGTGGCAGCGGCAAGCCCACCAAGGTGGCCAAACTGCCAGCCGTGAACAACGTCCACGCAAAACACACGGGCCCCAGCCCGGGGGCACCGGGGCTGACGAACAGTTCCCTCCTCCATCAGGTAGGACAGGGCCTGGGGGCCCCGTGGGGAGGCTCGTGGCCTCTCCCTTGAGATGGTTGATCAACTCAGAGATCTGTGCGGTCGGTTTGGTGGGTTTGCCTAAAAGCAAGTGTCCGGCTTCACGGTGTCTTTTAAGAAAAGGCCGAGTTGAAGGCCAGATGAAGGTCACACGGGCGCCTCTCTGCCAGACTCTCTGATGACTCGGAAGATGCTCTTGGCTGAGGAGGCCACACCAAGTGCATTTCCGCAGCTGGGGCGGTGGACACCGTCCTGCGTGACGGTGGGGCCCTCCTTGTCCTGGAGCGTGGTCCTCTCGTACGTTTTTCTGAAGAAAGCTGGGCGAAAATCAAGCTGATGTGGAAAGGGATGATTTAAATTTGAAAAAGGCTGTTCATATTTTTCCCTTCAAAGAATTTCAGGTTTTCTTGTTAATTCCCTCCCTCTGTGTTCTCCCTGTTTTCCGAGGAGGCAGGGAAACAGAATTTAACTATGGCAGAGCAGAAGATTAACATCTCGTTGAAGGTAACAGATTGAAAAGAAACCTGCATGTGACCCGTTTCTAGAAAAGGGCTTGTCGGGCATCGGATTCATTACTGACCGTGGTTTCTCTGGCTGTGTCTTGTCTTCCCCACTCTTCCTCCGGCTGCTGTTTGCTCCTGTGGCCAGTTCCTCCACCTTCCTCTTTCTCCTGTCCAGCTCCTCTCATCTTGTCGTTTCATTCAGCAGGGTACTTTCTGTCTTTGCTTACAAGCGGGAATTTCAGCAGTATCAGCCTCAGAGCTCTGCTTTAAAATGTGAGGCTCTTTTTGTTTTGCTTTGTTTTCCCTTCCTCATCTTCAAAACTGAACATAAATGTCAGACTAGAACTTGTCCAGAAAATACCAAGAAGTTTCTTCATGAGACAGAAGTTTCCCTCCAGTATATGTGTGAATGAAAACTCAGCACCAAAGGTGTGGGAAAAATAATGCCGCATGAATCTCAGTAGCAGCCGCTTCAGTTCTTCTCTTTGAGCCACAAATACATATGGGCTATTTGTGCGTCATTTGGGCCTTTGAGCAGGATTCCTGGACAAGTGAAAACTTCTTGATTTGTAGTTTAACGATAAGCATAAAAATACACTGCAAACACTGTAAGAATCCACCCCTTAGTAACACCCTTCTGAGCGTAGTTTCCCAATTCATGTGAACCCCAGGAGGGAAGCTCCACTGCGCGCACCCCTGTCACGGCGCAGGCCGTCTTCACACGGAGGCTGCTGCAGACCTGACCGCCCTGGTGTCGGGGCAAGGCGGAGACTGGGCGGGTGCAGCCGAGGGTGACGATCTGTGGAGAAGTGGGGAGTGGGCGCCTCATCTGCACAGAGCAGCGACTCCCAGAAACTTGCTTTAATTTCAGAGAGAAACTGCGCATCTGAACCTTCATGAGAAATTTCACCATTTTCCAATGCTCTAGTTTTTTTGTATCATTTTGTCTTGATCTGGGGAAGCCCACACATTTGTCAGCTAGGTTTGGCTCAGGAGCTACCAGTTTACCACCTCTCATGTCCACCATCTGAGGAGGACTACATCCCCCTTGGACAAACAGCCTATGTTTGGGTTCTTTTCCTTAAAGGCAGTTTCACGTCGTGTTTGTATTTGAGAAAGGTTTTTTCTGTGCCGTGGAATACATTCTGTTACGCTACACAAATTCGGGGGATGTGGGGTGTGGTTCATGGCTATAGATCACAGGATGGATCAACTGCCCAAAAAAGTATTGCATTATTTTTACATCCCTGATCATTTAGCTGCAAGAGGGAACCAGTAGCTTTTTTCAGACTATCAAAGGGACCCATGCCTCCAAAATGCTGTACAGAAGTCTGCTCTTAGACCAGTAGGGGCCTGAGCTCGCTCTTCTCCATGGAGCAGATTTTAGAGCCGAGATAACTGGACTGGTTTGAGTCCCTTCAACAACAGAATCGGGGGCCTGCTGGGGAGCCTGGGAGATATCGCTGAGTGCCCACCCAGCCCCTGCGTCAACTTGCGGGCTCTGCCACCAAGGACTTGCGGGCTCTGCCACCACGGACCTAAAAATAGCTCAGTGCAGGCCAGCGAAGGCCAGAGTTCCCTCTGCTTGCCTCCCCTCCACCTTGGGTGTGAGCTTTCACACCTGTGTGCTGGCCCATTTGACCTTGTTCACGTCTCAGTTGACAACCTGGAAAAGCCTCAAGGAAGCAGCATCCGTAAATAGAACCAAAAGGCAAACATGTGAGCCTTTTCTCTAAGCTAGAAACCCCAGGCTGCATCTCTTCTGGACTGTTTTCTGAGAGCCAGTCTCTTAGAAGGATTGTGCCCAAGGTCGTTGGAGACTGTTGAAAGCTAAAACCAAGTTCTCTAGCTGCCTGCTCCTGGCATGGCCTGGGCAGAGGAGACATGAGTGGCGCGTGGCCTTGGGAGTACCTTGTTTAGAATCAAGGCAGGGCTGGGACAGCCGCTTTCTTACCTTTCGATGTCTCCCCACCCCCCTCTTTTTTGAAAGCCAAAGGCCCGTCCCTGACAGCTGGAAATAGCACGGGGAGGAATAATGTGGACACTTTTGACGACAAGTTACACCTCCACTCAGCACTCTGGATTCCACGACACCTTTGAGTCTGTTCTCCCAGCCTCCTGTGGGCCTTGAGGGTAGAAATCTGCCGGGTTGTTGTTTTAACGAGGATGCCCCTGAAGCTTAACTCACTGCCCCTGTAGCAGTGAGTACTTGTTAAAGGACACTGGATCAAGTCCAGCCATCAAGTTGCTTTTATCAGTGTTAGAGTGGTCTGGACAGCTTGCTGCCATCTGTGAGAAGTTCCTGTCTTGTTGAACCTGCAATATATCACCAAGCCGCTCTTAGAGGAGGTTGGCTGGTGCAAGTGTCTTGGCAAGACTGTGACTGTAGTCTTTTCTCCCTCCCTCCTTCTCCCTGCCTAGGTCTTCCCTCACCCTCGCATCTGTAGGTCCCAGGTCCCTCTCCAGCCGTCACATACCATAACTGGAGAGACCTCTGGGGGCAAACAGAGCTGCACCCCCGAGCAGCCCCCTGGAGAAGGGGGTCTGTGGCTAGGAGTTTACATCAGGGGCCCGGAATGGAGTGTGGACGTTAGTGTGAGGCGCCGTGATAAAAGAGTCTCTGTTTTCGCCCAGCCTTTTGCAAGTAATTTGGGATCAGAAGCCGTCAGAAGTTTTTCATGTACGAACTGGTTTAAAAGCCATTGATGGCCAGAGAGCAAGGATACACCAGTTTAGAGGCTTACTTTTCATGGTACAAAAGCAATTCTGTGTGAATTTAAAAAAAAAAAAAAGAAAATGCAGACAATTTTGATCATGGAAAGTCAAATTTTGGTGGGAGGGGGCAGATAAAAATCACTGTGGGGGGAAGTTTTCCATGATTTCCAAAGAGATTGATTTTTTTTTTTTTAACCTTTGTTTTCATGTTAAACAATATGATTGGGCCAGTTGTCCTGCCCAGGCTCCTGTTTTTAAAAATTGCCTTTGTAACGTGAAGTAACTGGGATGCAGCAGAATCTGTCATTCACCAAGTCACTGGAATACTTAAATGTTTCCAAAGCACTCTGCATTACCCCCAACCTCTGTGGATACTGTCCTGGGACTAAGTGTAAATTTCTGCTTGGAGCACTCCCAATGTGTGTATCTGCACACCGCATCCTGCCACTGCACACGTTTCTGTGGATGCCACTGAGGTGGGCAGCAGGCACCCAGGGAGGGGTGCAGGTGACGGTACCACTGCCCATGTGGAGGTGGTGGGGTGCTCCTTGACATACCTCCTTTCTTGGGATTAATGCCTGTGATCTTCCTGAGGGTTTGAGAGACCACCCCCTACTCCCCCCACCCCCGCCCACCCAGAATGTTTTTTCTAGTACTTAACCCCCAGAGAAAGAGTTTGATAGGTTAAGGCATTTCTGCCTGAGAAGGTGCCCTTGAATTTGAGGGGATGAGCTGGAGCTTCTCCATAGTCGATTCCACCGGCAGCTCCTGAAAGGAGAACCAGGCAGTTTCGCTCAGAGGAACACAGGAAGTTGCCAACCACAGGGTAAATTTCCCAAGGCTGCGATCATGGCCCCAGGCAGAGCCGGGGCAGAGCCAGTCAGTGCATCTGTTTTCCTTACAATTCTTGGGCTACAAACTTCAGATTCAGGGAATTTTCAGTCAACAACAGGTAGAATGAATGAATACTTGGTTACCAGCCTAATAATGTGAATCGCTACAGAATTATTATGTAAGATAACAAAGTTTATGGAGATACTTTAGCTATAAATTGATGTAAAATATTCTTTTTTTTAAAGGAAGGGGAGAACAGTAACTTGTTCAGTTATTATGCAATCAATTAGTAAATGTTTTTAAAATGATACTGTAGGAGAGCTTGTGAGAAGACTGCACAGATGGGCCCATTTGGTGTAGTTAGCAGAGGTGAGTCTGGTTTTTCATCCCAGGAGAGAGAGAGAAGGAGGTAAGAGGAAATCAGAACGTACCTAGCTGATTCCTCAGTGACAAGTGCAATGGGGGATGGGTAGAATTTATTTTCAGAGCCAAGGGGACTTGATGGTTATAAATAAAGTTGCTTTTAGTGATGGAATTGTAGACAGATCATGTTGTTCCAGAAGATGTGAATAGGACCCATGATAGAAAGTTGACTCAGAATAATGTAGATATTTAGATAAACGAGTCTTGATCCTTTGATTTCTTAGATTGAGGTTTTAATTACATTATTGTCTCCCGGTAGTACACAGAGCATCGGGATTAGGAAATTAGCCATTTTGGACTCTGCCTGCCACAAACAGACCTATTCTAAACAGTGCTATTAAATTTTAGACTGTTGTTCAAATATTTTTATTTTCTCCTACTACTGCTTTTTACTATAATGAACAAGTAAGACCATTTAAAACACGGGAGTACAAGTATTTTTTTGAACTAAATTAACTTGCAGAAACCAAATTTGCAGTGGTTGGGTTGTTTCTAGACAGACTTTGGTATCAATTTAAAACCAAGATAATTTTTATATTCTTTCCAATAGAATTTCGTGACAACTCCTGCAGTTTTCTTAACCTACAAAAAAAGAAAAAGTGCTGCAATGATGAACAAAGAATTATACAAAAACCTACTTTTGTATCTTTATTTTGGAATTTCTTGTTCTATTATAAATATGGAAGTATCCCTATTTGAGAAGACATATTTTGTTAAAAATGAATTGTACATATTTAAATATGTATTTTTGCACAGGTCTTTTTTTCTGATATCCTGTTTTGGTACAATTGAGATCATCTAGTATTTATTTATTAATTAATAAAAGTAAATACCTTTTTATAATTTGAAGTGGTTCACTGCCAAGCCAATAGTTCTAGGACCTGCCTCCTTTACCATGTAAGGGACGCCTCTGTTCTGTGAAAGTCTCTTGTCCCTTTCAGTGTCTCGGGAGTGGATTCACGCAGATGAAGTGGGCATTGCTTCTCCCTAGTTGCTTGACTTCCCCATAGACTACATGTAACGGGTGACACTGCTCTTCTTTCGTTACGTGTGAGAGTGAGTGTGCGCGCCCCGAGCACACGCGTGTTAGTATGAGAGTGGTTAAAACTAATGGGAAAAACACAAAACTGAAAGTGCCTGAACCTAGTTTTAAGCTTAGACAGATTCTTTAAAAAGACTTGAATGTTCAGTTGAACTTTTTTGGAGTTTGCTTTTTCCACCTAAATATTGTTACTTAAATTTTAGGAGAGGAGTTGAAAACCACCAAATGCTGGTAATTTTATAAGGTATTTTAAAATCAAGACCTTTTGGTTCACAGGAATTCAACTGGTGATGAATTGCCCAGTGGCACCAAGGGTTATAAATCTTCTGTCAGCCAGCAGCTTACACAGCGTGTCCGTTTTGTTACTCACTCGTGAAATGCAGAGTTTAAAATAGAATATTTAAAATATTTTGTATTCCAAAAATATAATACAGAGTACCTCTGAGAACATTGAAAAAAAATGTATAATTTGAAAAAATGTAACTTATAAAGGCAGCTGTCTTCCTGCAAGAGTTCTGTTGCCAAGGAATTTCTTAATGTCTCTCATTCTGTCCTGCGGTGGGGGGAAAAGTTGGGCTTTGGAAAAATGATTGTTAAAAGTTTCATTATGTTTAGCAGAAAAATAACCATTTTTACATTTTGTGTAAAGCCTTTTACATTTTCGGATCATTTAAATGAGCACTACATCCTGTCAGTGTGAGTGTAGGGCCTTGAAAGCATTTTGCCGGTTTCTTTTTTTTTTTCCCTTTGAGCTTGGTTATAAAAGCAATCTCCTGTTTAAAATGTGTGAATAGTTTGATCATTTGTACACATAATCAAGAGCATCTCAGCTGGACTTTTTGTTGGCTGCTGTATAGAACATGAACAAATGTCAAGGGATAGAAGATTACTTTGGATATTTAAAAGAGAAGAAATATATAGTCTATTTGTTTTGTAACAAGTTCTGTAAATAAAATAATTTATACTATTTATAAGAAAAGTTGTGCTTTGCTTTATGAGAAATTAGTTTGTGGAACAAACATGTTAACGGGCAATAAAACTAGGATTTCTCAATAAATAAGGTTGGCTGCATGAAATATTTTACATGTTTCTGCCTCGTTGTGATCCTGAACCTCTTCCGATCTAGTCTGACTCTTCTTCATTTTTAACAACAGACACCCTTGTAAAGCCCCTTCCTTCAGCTTCCCTTCCATGCAAGCTACAAACTTTAAGGGCTTAAGATGTTTCTCTTCTTGGGCACAAAACTTCACCTTGGGTAAATTAATAACTGGGTAAAGAGTGGACACAACTGTATTCTTGCCCTGTAGGTTTGTCAGCAGAAGGGAGTCGATAGGTTGAGAAATGCATTCCATTTGTATTATTTGATGGCATGTGGTCAGTTTTGATTACAGGTAAGTCTGTGTGTGTGTGTATTTAATTTTTATTTTATATTGGAGCATAGTTGATTAACAATGTTGTGTTTGTTTTAGGTGTATAGCAAAGTGATTGAGTTATATGTATACAGGTATCCTTTTTCAAATTCTTTTCCCATTTAGGTTATTACAGAATATTGAGAAGAGAGGTAAGTTTTTATCCCAAGTGGGTCTGGTTTCTTTCTTTTTTCCTTTTTTTTAATTTTTTTTTTTTTTTTAACATACCTCCCTCTCTGGCGATACAAGTGTATTAGTGTTAGGCACAGCATAATCTTTTATCTCAAGAAATTTGGCCATTTTTACCATTTGCAAACCATTCTTACAAATTCCAAATTATTTTTGTTGCTTAAAAGACTAAGGGAAGCAATGGATTTGTGGGCTGGAATAAAGGTGAGTAATTATAGGAAGGAGTCAGTCCTCACTGCCCTGCTCCATGGACTTACATTCCATCCTTAGATCAGCTGACTATTCAAACTCATTATTAGTACATTCCCCATATATAACTCCTTTCACTTGGCTGTCCCCCTTAAACGTCCCAGGAGAAGGTTCAATCAGTCATCCTCTCATGCTTTTCTCACTTCTGTTCTCTTGCAGGTAACCTGGCCGGGGACAGCAGAAGATTATCCCAGTTCACCCAGCGGGGGATTGGCAGTTCTGGATCTTGACCTGAGGGA